AAATACACCTTCCCTCCCTAAATGCCTTATTGAATTTCCATGATTGCGAAAGAAATCATTGGGGCTGCATATACGTAGCTGTCTTGTCTGCCAATCCTTCTGTTACGTCAGATTACGTACTCATGGTGCTTCATTATGGATCTGACAATTGTTTGGCATTTTGGCGACCTGGAGACCTCAATTGGACTAATATTGATGTTGCTAATAATTTTCCTGGTAGGCCTTCCGCTCTAGTTTATCACAAGGGCGAATTTTATTCCATGCGTCACAGTGGCAAAGTACAAGCTCATGAAGTTGCAGGGCCTAATACTAGTGATCAACCAATTGTGAAGACACGTTTGGTTGTTCAGATGGCTGAATATACATTTAATTCACATGTATCTCAGTATTACCTAGTTGAGTTATCTGGTGCACTATTACTTGTTGCCCAGTTTGACAAAAGTAATATGGACTTTCCAAACGGACTCGTTTGTTATCACACCTTCAAATTTAAAGTCCATGAAGTAGACATAACCAGAGGTGAATTGAAGGAGGAGATGAAAACCTTGGGAAAATTTTCAATGTTTTTGGGTGATAATTTGGCAAGTTGCATTGACTCTTCTAAATATAGCGGAGTCAAGCCTAATCACATATATTTTGCCGATAAGGGGTCATTTTTTTCGAGGAATAAAAATTTGGGTGACTATAATTTGGAAGATAGAAAAATTCAATCTTTTAATCATGGAGGACAAATAACATGGTCAATTCGTCCGCTAACTTGGTTTATGCCATCATTGACCAAGTGATTTTATTTGTCCCTCCAATTCAATAATGCTCGGATTATAAGAGTTTTCAGTTTGATGAATTATTATTATTATTTTTAATATTTATTCTCTAGTTGTAATCTTGCCAGACATATGATATTTAATTCCAAATCACATTACTTACTTCCCTTTGATTTCCATAAATTGTAACAGTAACATCCTCTCTCTCTCTCGTATCTTCGAATTTCAATGCTTCCTTCTTCATCTTTCAGAAAGATTTTGGTTTCTTGATGTTTCATTCACTATTACATGTAATATATTTCATTTACAAATTACATCTTCCTGGTTTCGTTCCATTTGCCGTACTACAGGCAGCGAAATTACGCTTTGTATTTGTTGCTAGTTGATATAGACGTGAAGCATGGCGCATTTGTTGTTTTTTTGAGTTCTGCAACTTCATTTACATTGTTAATTGAGAAAAAATTAATCAAATATGAGCCAAACTTTTAACTGATGACATAGTTATGTGATGGACAATTATGACTAAGTGACAATCCAGGATAAATAGATTCAATTTGTCCATCTTCAAAAATATAATTAGGCTTGATTCCAGGAAATTTAGAAGAATCAATTGAACATGCTCCAGTATTAAATTAATGCCCAAAAAAATGGCTGAATCTCCCAAGGTTTTAAACATCTACTTCAAAGACATTAAATTTATTGGTCTTATAACTATGATGCTCTGGAGAACGGGCAAGTCGGGTAGTAAATAATAGCTTATCGGATAGCTCGACTAGGTAATACTGAACTGAATGCTGACGAAATATATATCTTTGGACCAATAAAGCAAGCGTTGCTCTACATCGATTGGTTTGGGAGTGGTAGGCCCTGGAACTTCGAAAACCCAGAATTCGCCATGAGTGGTAACATAATAGAATTTACCATTATAATAATTCATACAAAATTTAATTATATGTGTGTTTTGTGTAGGCCTGATTCGCTTAACAGGGGAATTGGAAAAGTGATAACCATTCGAAAAAGTCACAACATTTTAGAAACGTCGCAACCCTTCAAAATAGTCATAGTCTTTCAGAAAAGTCGCAACTTTTTAGAAAAATCACAACCTTTTAGAAAAGTCGCAACCCTTCAAAATAGTCACATTCTTTTAGAAAAGTTGCAACTCTTTAGAAAAGTCACAACTCTTCAATCTTCCATTCCCACCTTTTAAAACTCAATATTAGGCTTTGCATTATTATAAATAGGGTGTTGTGAGGTATTTTCAATTGTGAGAAATAGAAAGAATCCCTGGAAATATTGTGGAGAATTATTTGAGTTTCCTTCTGTCTTCTTTAAAAACTATGGCTGACTGGGCAAAACTTCCCAACGATCTTATTGCTCACATTGCAAATCGTGTTAAAGTGATTGAAGATTTTATTGCTTTGGTGCAGTTTGTACCTCTTGGCGAATTGCCGCTACAAAGGACAATTTCGATTTACTTTCTCCCCAAGTTCCATTCCTTATGCTGGCTGACGAACATGATGACCGTTATCAAGAATTTTATTCTCTTTCCAAGAAGAAGGTTTCGCGCATATTTCTCCCGGAAGTTAGAGGGTCAAAGTGTGTATCAATTAAGGAGGGATGGCTCTGCACCGTGGTAAATAATACGGGAGAGATGAATTTGTTGCACCCTTTCTCTCGCAAAAAAATACACCTTCCCTCCCAAAAAGCCTTATTGAATTTCCATGATGGCACTGGTTACGAAACAAATCATTGGGGCTGCATAAACTTAGTTGTCTTGTCTGCCAATCCTTCTCTTACGTCAGATTATATACTCATGGTGCATCTTTATGGACCTGACATTTGTTTGGCATTTTGGCGACCTGGAGACCTCAATTGGACTCATATTGATGTTTCTAATTTCACTGCTGGGGTTTCCGCTCTAGTTTATCACAAGGGCAAATTTTATTCCATGAGTCGCAGTGGCAAAGTACAAGCTTTAGAATTTGCAGGGCCTAATACTACTGATCAACCAATTGTGAAGACACTCTTGGTTGTTGAGACTGACGAATATACATTAAATCCGTGTGTAGTTGAGTATTACCTAGTTGAGTTATCAGGTGCACTACTACTTGTCATCCAGTTTGCCATAGGTACTTGTGACGGTACTAATCACACCACCAAATTTAGAGTCTATGAAGTAGACATAACCAGAGGTGAATTGAAGGAGGAGATGAAAACATTGGGAAATTCGTCAATGTTTTTGGGTCATAATTGGGCAAGTTGCATTGACACTTCTAAATATAGCGGAGTCAAGCCTAATCACATATATTTTGCCGATAAGTGGTTAAATTATAGTAGCTATTTAGATATGAGTGCCTATAATTTTGAAGATGGAAAAATTGAATCTTTCTATCCCGGTCCTGGACGACGGGCACCACGTTTAATTTGTCCGCCACCTTGGGTTACGCCATCATTGATGAAGTGATTTTATTTGTCCCTCCAGTTTGATGAATTTTTATTTTTACTATTTATTCTCATTGTAATCTTGCCAGACATATGAAATTTAATTCCAAATATATTAAGGATTTGATATTTATATAATTCAGGACTATTTATTTTTAACCTAAATAAGGTAGGAATAGATTTTTTAGTCCTGGTTAATTAGGTTATGTGCTATTATAAATAGGGGTGTTGCTAGCTATTTTTAATTGTGGAAAAAAATATTTTCTTTCACCATGGCAGGTTGGGCAGAACTCCCCAACGGTCTTATTGTTAACATTGCAAATCGTGTTAAAGTGATTGAAGATTTCATTGCTTTTCGTGCTGTTTGCTCCTCGTGGCGAATTTCCACTATAAAGGAAGATTTTGATGTGCTTTTGCCCCAAGTTCCGTTGCTAATGCTGGGTGCCAAATATGAAGATTATCGAGAATTTTATTCTCTTACCAAGAAGAAAGTTTCGCGCATATTCCTCCCAGAAGCTAGAGGGTCAGAGTGTTTACCATCCGAGGGATGGCTCTGCACTGTGCTAAATGATACGGGAGAGATGAATTTGTTGCACCCTTTCTCTCGCGAAAAAATACAACTTCCCTCTCGAAAAGCCTTATTGATTTTTCATGATTTCGTTGCTTTAGAAGGACATTGTTGGAGCTGCATAGAGAGAGCTGTCTTGTCTGCGAATCCTTCTCTTACGTCAGATTATGTACTCATGGTGCATCATTGTTCGCCTAGCTCTTGTTTGGCGTTTTGGAGACCTGGAGACCTCGATTGGACTCATATTGATGTTGTTAATTACTCTGGGATTGCGGCTTTAATTTATCACAAGGGCCAATTTTATTCCATGAGTTACTTTGGAGAAGTTAGGGCTTATCGAGTTGCAAGGCGTAACACTACTGATCAACCAATGGTACAAATACGAATTCTAGCTGAGATGCACTACATTCAGGGTAACTTGCCTGATGTTCAGTATTACTTTGTTGAGTTATCCGGTGCGCTATTACTTGTCTCCCGATTTGGCAACATTACATTTGACGACGATGGAAACAGCATTTTTTACACCTTTAAATTTGAAGTCTCTGAACTAGACGTAATCAGAGGTAAATTGAAGAAGGAGATGAAAACCTTGGGAGATTCATCAATCTTCTTGGGTCGCAATTGGGCAACTTGCATTGACTCTTGTAAATTTAACGGAATCAAGCCTAATCACATATATTTTACCGATGATGGGTTTGAATACGACAGAGATGTAGAAGGAGGAGGAGTCGGAAGAGATATGGGTGCTTATAATTTGGAAGATGAAAAAATCGAATCTTTTTATCCTGGACAATCAACAAGTTTAATCTGTCCACCAGCTTGGGTTATACCATCACTAATAATGTGATTTATTATTTTTATTGTATCAGTATTTATCACTAATAATTCTTAAATTTCGGGTTTTTAGTAATTGGATAATTGGTAGTTAAAAGTAGATATACCAAATACCAAACTTTTAAGTTTTGGTTCGGTAATATATGTTTTACAAGCTGGAGATTGTTAGTTCAGTTTCACCTCGCCTAGTTATCTGGTGCACTATTACTTGTTAATCGATTTTCTAATGGCGAGGACGGGGACTGGTCAGAAACCTTGAAATTGAAAGTCTTTCAGTTAGAGATATAATTAATCGCGAATTGAAAGATGAGATTAACACCATGGGAGATTTAACAATTTTTGGAGTCAGCATTGCAAATTTAACTCATATTGTGCCTTGTGCTAAATGGAACCTAAAGATAATGCAACAGACTTAAGTATTTAAAAACTGCCATAAATGCCAAACCAGCATCAAGTGCAGCCGAAAGAACGTAGTTATGTTGTTGCCACCAATCTGGTCTATACCGATAAACAACAAAGCCAGACAAGAACCCAACGATGATCCAGGTCATGTAGTTCACAGCCGTGGTTGGTGGCATCATCCCTGTTGCTCCTATTAGCACTGGCATGTTGGTCAGTTTGATCCATTTTTGCTTAGGAAATGCCCTGGCTGCTAACCACACAAGTAGTGGTGCTATCGCGCCATATAAGAAGAACCAATTCACCATCCCATAAGTTCCCAAGTCTCCGAAAATCCTTCTTGGTGCAATCAAACCCCAAATCACTGATGCATCATAAAACACATGATCCGAAGGACAAGTCCACACCGTGTTGGACAATGTCTTGTTGCACATGTCTGGAATCGTTTCCATTAACCACCATGCTGTTCCCAAATACACGAACCCTGCTATTAGAGTACCTACTACCTGCATTGTCCATTTTCTACTATATTGTAAGTACGTAAGCATACAGGGGCGGAGACAGAGGTAGAGACAGAATCATCTATGTTATCCATTCTAGCGGCGAGTAGCTTACCTGAGCCATAAACATTATTCTTGGAGGAATTTTCATGTAATGGCCAAGCTTGAAGTCTTGGAGGAAAGTTATAGCTTGTGTCATACTAATGTAACCATAAACCTTGAAGCACATGTTAGCGACCGGATATCCTGGATAAAGGTAGCTCGACTAGGTAATACTGAACTGAATGCTGAAGAAATATATCATCTTCGGACCAATAAAGTAAGCATTGCTCTACATCGATTGTTTTGGGAGTGGTAGACCCTGGAACTTCGAAAACCCAGAATTCGCCATGAGCTGTAACATAATACTAGAATTTACCATTATAATAATTCATACAAAATTTAATTATGTGTGTTGTGTGTAGGCATCATTCGCTTAATGGAGGAATTGGAAAAGTCACAACCATTCGAAAAAGTCACAATCCTTCAGAAAAGTAACAATCTTTTAGAAAAGTCGCAATCCTTCAAAATAGTCACAGTCTTTCAGAAAAAGTCGCAACTCTTTAGAAAAGTCACAACTCTTCATAAAAGTCACAACTCTTCAAATCTTTTAAAACTCTAACATTAGGCCTTTGCACTATTATAAATAGGGTGTTGTTAGCTAATTTCAATTGTGAGAAATAGAAAGAATTACCCGTTGAAATATTGTGGAGAATTATTTGAGTTTCCTTTAAAAACTATGGCCGATTGGGCAAACCTTCCCAACGATCTTATTGCTCACATTTCAAATCGTGTTAAAGTGATTGAAGATTTTATTGCTTTTGGTGCAGTTTGTACCTCTTGGCGAATTGCCGCTACACAGGACAATTTCGATGTGCTTTCTCCCCAAGTTCCGTTCCTTATGCTGGCTGACGGACACGATGACCGTTATCAAAAAATTTATTCTCTTTCCAAGAAGAAGGTTTCGCGCATATTTCTCCCTGAAGTTAGAGGGTCAGAGTGTGTATCAATTAAGGAGGGATGGCTCTGCACCGTGGTAAATGATACGGGAGAGATGAATTTGTTGCACCCTTTCTCTCGCAAAAAAATACACCTTCCGTCCCAAAAAGCCTTATTGAATTTCCATGATCGCGTTGGATACGAAACAAATCATTGGGGCTGGATAAACTTAGCTGTCTTGTCTGCCAATCCTTCTCTTATGTCAGATTATGTACTCATGGTGCATCATTATGGATCTGTCAATTGTTTGGCATTTTGGCGATCTGGAGACCTCAATTGGACTCATATTGATGTTGCTAATTTCACTGGTGGGGTTTCGGCTGCTCTAGTTTATCACAAGGGGGAATTTTATTCCATGAGTCACAATGGCAAAGTACGGGCTTATGAAGTTGCAGGGCATAATACTAGTGATCAACCAATTGTGAAGACACGCTTGGTTGTTGAGATGGCCGAATATACATTTAATCCGCATGTAGCTGAGTATTACTTAGTTGAGTTATCTGGTGCATTATTACTTGTTACCCAGTTTGTCAAAAGTAATAGGTACTATCCCAACGGACACGGTTTTTATAACACCTCCAAATTTAGAGTCTATGAAGTAGACATAACCAGAGGTGAATTGAAGGAGGAGATGAAAACTTTGGGAAATTTGTCAATGTTTTTGGGTAATAAGTGGGCAAGTTGGATTGACTCTTCTAAATTTAGCGGAGTCAAGCCTAATCACATATATTTTGCCGATAAGTGGTTAAATCATTGTAGCTATTTAGATATGGGTGCTTATAATTTGGAAGATAGAAAAATTGAATCTTTCTATCCTAGTCTTGGACGACGTTCAACAAGTTCAATTTGTACGCCAACTTGGGTTATGCCATCATTGACAAAGTGATTTTATTTGTCCCTCCAATTCAATAATGCTCGGATTATAAGAGTTAATTGTGTTGTTTTGGTGTCTTTATATAGATTTCTTACGGAAAAGGAGCTACACAACTCTTGAACTATTGGAAATGATACAAGAATCAAAACTGACAAAACTATCCTCCGTTCATCTAGTTGCCCATAACATGGAAATTGCAAAAAGAAAAGGAACAAACACCATTTAATTCCACCGGATTTGGGTTGTGGAATTGAAAGGCCCAAATGAAAATTTTTGGGTTGTGGAATTGAAATTAATTGGAATTTGATTTGAGGCGGGTCGATTTGATTTGGGAATGAGTAGGTTTTAAAATTAGTATAGGTTAATTATAGATAGACCAGTATATAAGCGCCACATCATTAACTAAGGTCAATATAGAAAATGTCGGGTATTTGAGATCTAATAGATGCTGAGATTTGTCGGGGGTATTTGCGGTCTAAGAAGATGTCTGGGTATTTGGTATCTAATAGATAGATTTGTCAACTAAGGGAAATATAGAAGACGTTGGGGTATTTGGAATCTAATAGACTATTTGGGGTCTAATAGATGGATTGACTGGAGGGTAATTTTGTACTATTTCCATTAGTTCAAAGGACTTTTTCAAAATTTCTTATTATTATACTATTTTTGGAGCTAGTTATCCTCGTAACAACACATATTTAGCATGAAATTTAATCAGTATATAATTCTTTGAATTTGTTAACCTATAATGCTTAATTAAAAGAAAACGCATTGATTAGAAAAGAAGCTAACAAAATCTAATTCATTTCGGGAATGCCTAACAAAATCCAATTCATTTCGGGAATGCTGTTTTTTTTTTAGAATCTCATCATACTCAAACAACATTTTGGAAAGTAATAGAATCAAATCGAAATTATCAATTCAAATAAATGCAATACATGCGTCAATTACTTAAGAACCTTGATAAAGCAGATCATCAGGAGTTTAATAGTCACAACTGATAATTGCCGCTCTCAGGGCATTTTATGGAAATATGGTAGTGCAAACACTTAGATTTTGATAGCCACCAACATTTCTTGAAGTATACATGTCAACTATCTTGATAATTTTTCTTGATTTTTTTTACGACTTGGTTAGTAAAATTAATAAAAATGTTGCATTTTGTGGATTTTGAGGAAAAAAGTAAAATCATGGAGAACTTATGCTAAATCATGATCATTAACTAGGATCAGAAGATTCAACTAAAGAAGAGGAAGCTAGAAAGGAAAGAAAGAATTTGGATAGAGTACTTTGCTATGGAAGAAGTGTTCCTGAATTGAATTAAAATGGATTGATTACAAATGTACAAGACCACCTCCATTTATACTTGTCTGGATGGTTCTAGAAACTCTTCTAGATAAATCTACAAGAACATTCTAGTAAACTTTATCCTTTAGCAATACTCTAGAATATTTAGATAATTATTTAAGTTTCTATACTAGGATATTCTAGAAAAATCTATTATATTTCAAAAATCAATTTTAACTTTTTTCACACTCCCCAAAGAGTAATTCTTTTGGAAATTATCCTAACTTTGTCGCTGAAGAACTCAAACGAAGCTTTAGGAAGATACTAGGTTCAATATATCAACAATATTCTCCTAACTTCGTACTTTCAAAGTAATTATAGTTCCATCAAAAACTTTTTCTCGAGTGAAATATGGAAAAATTGAATATTGTCCAGTTTGGGTTATGCCATCACTAATAATGTGATTTTACTGTCTATTTTCAGTTTGGTAAAAAATTTTTTTTACTTATTATCAGCAAGTTATTAGGATTGTTGTTACATTTGATAAATGTTTATTGTTTTTACTGGAATACACAACATTCTCCAACTCTGTTCTATCTATAATAATCTATCTATATTTGGGCTCGTTTCTCGCAATATAATTGGATTGATCCCTGTTGAAATAATAATGCAAAGTTGGTATACGAAACCAAATATGTTTACGATTTGATATTTATTTAATTCATGTCTAACTAGGATTTTTGTCTTAATAATACAGAAATAAATTTCTTAGTCCTAGTTAAATTAGGTGTTACAAATTTATATTACTGAAATATTAAGAACATAAACTTCATATAAAACACAAAGTTTAAAGAATATTTTCATAAATGAGAAATTTAAAACCAGTAATCAGAAAAGAAGCTAAAAAATATTTTTCTCAAAGAAGAAAATCGAGCCTACTGAATACACAATGTTTGCTTAAGGAGGTTAATGAAATATATGTCTTCACAGGATAGAACGATCTTACTCATCCATGTATCGGTACCTAAAACTATGGTGTCAACGACCACTTAACAACAGTAAAATATACTTAGAATTTGTTGGGGTAGAAGAAGAAGTCCAAAAACTTCTTATTGAAAAATGAGGGGAAACCATTTGTTTGCAGACCAACAAAGAGTAGTACGAATATGTGCTTATTGTGCCTTATCAGCAAGGGCACAACCCTTTGGAAAAGTCACAAACCTTCGTAGAAGTCACAACATTTTAGAAAAGTCACAACTCTTCATAAAAATTACAACTCTTTATAAAAGTCACAACTTTTCATAAAGTCGCAACCCTTTAGAAAAGTCACAACTCTTCATACACACTATTATAAATATGGTGTTGTTAGCTATTTTCAATTGTGAGAAATATTGTGGAGAATTATTTGAGTTTCCTTCTGTCTTCTTTAAAAGCTATGGCCAACTGGGCAAAACTTCCCAATGATCTTATTGCTCACATTGCAAATCGTATTAAAGTGATTGAAGATTTTATTGCTTTTGGTGCAGTTTGTACCTCTTGGCGAATTGCCGCTACAAACGATCTGCTTTCTCCCCAAGTTCCATTCCTTATGCTGGCTGACGAACACGATGACCGTTATCAAGAATTTTATTCCCTTTCCAAGAAGAAGGTTTCGCGCATATTTCTCCCGGAAGTTAGAGGGTCAGAGTGTGTATCAATTAAGGAGGGATGGCTCTGCACCCTGGTAAATGATACGGGAGAGATGAATTTGTTGCACCCTTTCTCTCGCAAAAAAATACACCTTCCCTCGGTTGTAATATTGCCAGACATACATATGATATTTAATTCCAAATATATTAAGGATTTGATATTTATATAATTCAGGTCTAAATAGGATTTTTAACCTAAATAAGGTAGAAATAGATTTTTTAGTCCTGGTTAAATTAAGTTATGTGCTATTATAAATAGGGGCATTGCTAGCTATTTTTAATTGTGGAAAAAAATATTTTCTTTCACCATGGCAGGTTGGGCAGAACTCCCCAACGGTCTTATTGTTAACATTGCAAATCGTGTTAAAGTGATTGAAGATTTCATTGCTTTTCGTGCTGTTTGCTCCTCGTGGCGAATTTCCACTATAAAGGAAGATTTTGATGTGCTTTTGCCCCAAGTTCCGTTGCTAATGCTGGGTGCCAAATATGAAGATTATCGAGAATTTTATTCTCTTACCAAGAAGAAAGTTTCGCGCATATTCCTCCCAGAAGCTAGAGGGTCAGAGTGTTTACCATCCGAGGGATGGCTCTGCACTGTGCTAAATGATACGGGAGAGATGAATTTGTTGCACCCTTTCTCTCGCGAAAAAATACACCTTCCCTCTCGAAAAGCCTTATTGACTTTTCATGATCTCCCTGCTTTAGACGGAGATTGTTGGAGCTGCGTAGAGAGAGCTGACTTGTCTGCAAATCCTTCTCTTACGTCAGATTATGTACTCATGGTGCATCATTGTTCGCCTAGCTCTTGTTTGGCGTTTTGGAGACCTGGAGACCTCGATTGGACTCATATTGATGTTGTTAATTACTCTGGGATTGCGGCTTTAATTTATCACAAGGGCCAATTTTATTCCATGAGTTATTTTGGAGAAGTTAGGGCTTATCGGGTTGCAGGGCGTAACACTACTGATCAACCAATGGTACAAATACGAATTCTAGCTGAGATGCACTACATTCAGGGTAACTTGCCTGATGTTCAGTATTACTTTGTTGAGTTATCCGGTGCGCTATTACTTGTCTCCCGATTTGGCAACATTACATTTGACGACGATGGAAACAGCATTTTCTACACCTTCAAATTTGAAGTCTCTGAACTAGACGTAATCAGAGGTAAATTGAAGAAGGAGATGAAAACCTTGGGAGATTCATCAATCTTCTTGGGTCGCAATTGGGCAACTTGCATTGACTCTTGTAAATTTAATGGAATCAAGCCTAATCACATATATTTTACCGATGATGGGTTTGAATACGACAGAGATGTAGAAGGAGGAGGAGTCGGAAGAGATATGGGTGCTTATAATTTGGAAGATGAAGAAATTGAATCTTTTTATTCTGGACAATCAACAAGTTTAATCTGTCCACCAGCTTGGGTTATACCATCACTAATAATGTGATTTATTATTTTTACTGTATTAGTATTTATCACTAATAATTCTTAAATTTAGGGTATTTAGTAATTGGGTAATTGGTAGTTAAAAGTAGATATACCAAATACCAAACTTTTAAGTTTTGGTTCGGTAATATATGTTTTACAAGCTGGAGATTGTTAGTTCAGTTTCACCTCGCCTAGTTATCTGGTGCACTATTACTTGTTAATCGATTTTCTAATAAATGCCATCAAGTGCACCCGAAAGAACATAGTTATGTCGTTGCCACCAATCTGGTCTATACCGATAAACAACAAAGCCAGACAAGAACCCAACGATGATCCAGGTCGTGTAGTTCACAGCCGTGGCTGGTGGCATCATCCCTGTTGCTCCTATTAGCACTGGCATGTTGATCAGTTTGATCCATTCTTGCTTAGGAAATGCCCTGGCTGCTAACCACACAAGTACTGGTGCTATCGCGCCAAATAAGAAGAACCAATTCACCATCCCATAAGTTCCCAAGTCTCCGAAAATCCTTCTTGGTGCAATCAAACCCCAAATCACTGATGCATCATAAAACACATGATCCGAAGGACAAGTCCACACCGTGTTGGACAATGTCTTGTTGCACATGTCTGGAATCGTTTCCATTAACCACCATGCTGTTCCCAAATACACGAACCCTGCTATTAGAGTACCTACTACCTGCATTGTCCATTTTCAACTATTGTAAGTACTTATACATGTATGATGGTAAGCATTAACAGGGGCGGAGACAGAATCATCTACGTTATCCATTCTAGCGAGTAGCTTACCTGAGCCATAAACATTATTCTTGGAGGAATTTTCATGTAATGGCCAAGCTTTGGCTATGCAGTGATGCATTTCTCCTTTACGTACTTCATCGAACCCCTGTAAAGCCAATTATAACGATTTTTCTGAAGGAAGTTGAATTTGGGCACGAGTGAAAGGATGCAACAAGTTAAACTCTCCGTAATATGACATGGTGAATAACCATCCCTCTGACAGAAAACATTCTCGTCCTCTAGCTTCTGGGATAAATACGCGTGAAACTTTATTCTTGAAAAGAGAGTAAAATTCTCGATAATCATCATCTTTATCAGCCAACATTAGCAACGGAACTTTACAAAGCCCCTCAAAATTCTCCTTTGGAGAAGCAGCTCGCCATGAGGTAAAACATAACCAAAAGCAATGAAATCTTCTATCAATTTAATGCGTTTCGCGATCAGAACAAGAAGATCGAAGTGGAAAACAGTCTCTTGCAGAAATACAAAGTAAAGTTGCGTATAATATGGTGTTTGGTAATAATATTTCTATATTTTAATGTGAGTCACAATATAATAGAAGATGAACAAGTAAAATGACATTAAGAAAATCAAATTGATACAACTAAAATACATATGTATTTGAGTTGTTTACGTTTATATAGGCCCTATATTCTTTACTGTTATAAAATTGGATGAAACTGCGCGTTTTACCTGATGTCACACGATAAAATTGTTTGTTATGGAACACATAAAGTAAAGACCCAACACAAAATAAGAACAGAAGTGCAAATAACCATAAAATTGTTGATTTAGTAATCAGGAAAACCAAATTTAGAATTGATTAAAAACTTTAGTATTCAAACATCATCCATTAACTAAGATTACAAAGAATAAAACAAGTAAATAATAAAGAGATCAATCAACTTTTAATTGGAAAAAATAATGGTGTGACCCAAGTTGGCGGGCAAATAGGACTTAGTGACAACTCAGAATAAAAAGATTCAATTTTTCCATCTTCAAGATTGTAAGCTCCCATATCTTTTCCACCACCGCCTTCCATCTCGGTAAATTGCTCTTCCCAATCATCAGTAAAATATACGTGATTAGGCTTAACTCCTGTAAGCTTAGATACATCAACAGAAACCCCTGCATTACTTCCCAAGAAAATCGCCGAATCTCCCAAAGTCTTCATCTCCTTGATGTCACCTTTGATTACATCTAGTTCCACCACTTTAAATTTAAAAGTAAGACTCCCACCTCCATGGGAAAATCGGGCAACAAGTAATAATGCACCTGATACCTCAACTAGGTAGAACTCAGTTCCGGCTTGTCCAAACATATCATCTTCTAGATGAACAAGCAAGCGGGGTTCAACAATTGGTGGTTTAGGATCGTTAGGCCCTGCAATGTCAAAAACCCAAACATCGCCTCCATTCGTGACTCCATAAAATTGACCGTCATAATAGTTGATATCGGAGAATGCACCCCATTCTTCATCTATTATATCTATTACATTCCAGTTGAGATCTCCAGGTCGCCAAAAAGCTAAATTATTAACCCCTGCATAATAAGAGACCAACAACACATAATCTGACGTAATAGAAGGACTAGCAGATAAGATCGCCTTATCCACGCAATGGTAGAGACCTCTCGCTTCAACTGGTCCGTAACCCTGTAAAGCCCATAAGTCTTTTTCCGAAGGAAGTTGAATTTGGGTACGGGAAAAAGGATGCAACAAGTTCATCTCTCCTATAATAGTATAGGCGACGGTGCATAGCCATCCCTTTGTTGAATAACACTCTGCTTTTCTAGCTTCGGGGAGAAATATGGTTGAAACTTTCTCTCCAGAAAGAGAATAAAATTCTCGATAATCATCATCTTTATCAGCTAGCATTAGCAACGGAACTTGTGGCCCCGGAAGCACTTTATAAATTTCCTTTGTACCAGCAATTCTCCATGTGGTACAAACAGAACAAAAAAGTATGAAATCTTTGAGCAATTTAAAACGTTTTGCAATTAAAACAATGAGATCGTACGGTAATTCTGCCCAATTCCCCATAGAGAGAATATGTGTTTATGGTTTCTAGGGCAAGTAAAAAAGTTAAACCTTTGTTTATGGTTTTATACTATACAATATTTAAGTGAAATCAATAAATGCATGATATGTGTTATAATCGCAATCGAAAAGCAGAAGATGAGGAGAAAGAGGACTCTTACATCAATTGGTTAGGACAAAAAAAAATTACTAGTAGAAATTGAACATAATTAACTTTCCCAATTATAGGACAACTTTTCCTTATATAAAGTACTTACTATGTAAAATTAAGGTTTCACAACAAAAAAAATATAATTGTTTTATATTTTGACACATCTGTTATTGAATTTACATTAAAATGAGATAAATGGTTTAGTGTCGTTTCTTCAGTTACGCTCATTGATACTTTTCAAAGGGACTAATTGTGAATTGAATATCATAAGCCTCAATCGTCTAGAGAAACCACAATTAAAATTGATCAAATACGATGACATTCATACATCAAGCTAGAAAGAGACAGTTATCAGAATGATGGTGCAATCCAAGTTGATAAGACTTTTGCCGGGAACGGGTAAAAGGATGCAACAAGTTGATATCTCCGGTATTATTTTCTACCGTACAGAGCCATCCCTGTGACGGAAAACATAATCGTCCACTAGCTTCCGGGAGAAATATGCGCGAAACTCTTTTCTTCGAAAGAGAGTATAATTCTCGATAATCGTCATCATTGTCAGACAAATTGTTATATTACATTTAAAAGAATTACAAATATTAGAGGCTTGGATCGAATGACATGGTTGGGTCTCGTATTGAGATTGAGACTTGAGAGTCGGGGCTTGAGTCCCGGGTTAGGTTCGGGTTGGTTCTCAGATCTCTAGCTGAGATAGAGGGTCGAGGCTCAGGTCACGAGTCAGGGTCTGGTCTTGGGTTGAGACGAAAGGTAGGGGATCAAGTCTCGAGGTCGGGAACAGGTTAAGGTCGGATCTCGAGTCTAGGTTAAGTCTCGAATTCGTGTCGTTCAAGTTGGGTCGAGGTTAAAATATTCAGGGGTCAAGGTTGTGGGTCAAACCTGAAAGTTCGAGTCTTATGGATGGTATGGGATGGGTGAACCATAGTAAAGGGTGGGATAGGGGGATGACGGAGCATTCAAAAAAGAGCAAAAAATTAGATTAAATTGGGCAGGTCATGAACCAGTCCAATCCATCTTAACTCAAATAACTTTTGGGGTGTTTTTAGCACAACTCATTTATTAACTCAAGTCATCTTAACTTGCTTAATTTCAACTAAACCTGCTCATTTGACACCCTTATCTAGGAGTATTCTTCGATACTTTTTATAATACTTTTTGCCAAAGAACTTATTTCCTCAAGGAATCCTACGTCCTAGCTGTTAGAAACGAGTCCTCATCACTAATAGCATATAATTAAGAATACAAACAATTCACGAATAAGATCACAAGGCTACGAATAAGGTTAAGACCACAAATTTCAAAAGTTATATCTCTCTATTAAAGTTAAACTATGAATAAAACAGAGGGACTAATTGTGAATTGAATTTCATAAACCTCAATCGTCTAGCGAAACCACAATTAAAATTGATCAAATATGATGACATTCATACATCAAGCTAGAAAGAGACAGTTATCAGAATGATGGTGAAATCCAAATTGACGGGCTGGTATGACTTAGAGATAATCCAGGATAAACGGATTCAAGTTTTCCATTTTCAAGATCGCAAGTCTCTCTTTTCAAAGTACACAACCTTTGGTGCACATCGCAGAAATTATCATATATATGATTAGGCTTGACTCCTGTAAACTCAGAGGTGTCAATGGAATTCGGTGAATTCCTTCCCAAAAAAATTGCTGAATTTCCCAAGGTTTTAATCTCCTCTTTAATGCACCTTTGATTAAATCTAATTCAAACAATTTAAATACAAAACTTTCACGGGTAACAAGTAATAGTGCACCAGATAGCTCGACTAGGTAAGAATAAGTTGACATGTAAGGCCACATATAACGGTCCAGCTCTATAATAAGTCGAGGCACTGCACCTTCAAAAACCCAAACTCCGCTAGCCCATGTTAGATAATAAAATTGTCCCTTATAATAATTCATAGCTATGATCATGGTTTTAATGTGAATTTTAGTCCAGTTGAGTTCTCCAGGTCGCCAAAAAGCCAAGCAAGGATGATAAGAAATAACCACTACATAATCTGACGTACAGAAGGACTAGCAGATAAAACAACTTTGTTAAAGTGGGTGTGCCAGTACAACATATCTTCTGTTCCGGCCTCCGGGAGGAAGTCGAATTTGGGCACATGTGCAAGGATGCAACAAGTTGATCTCTATTGTTTTCTTTTCTATTGTACAGAGCCATCCCTGTGACGAAAAACATGGTCGTCCTCTAGCTTCTGGGAGAAATATGCGCGAAATTTTCTTCTTGGTAAGAGAGTAAAATTCTCGATAATCATCATCTTTGTCATGATCATCCAACATTAACAACGGAACTTGAGGCGCAAACACATCGAAATTGTCCTTGGTAGTGGGGCAATTCGCCAAGAGGTACAAACAGCATGAAAACCAATGAAATCTTTGTTAAAGAATGACAAAAGTCCCACATCGGTGGTTAATGAGATGGGTGGACTCCTTATAAGGCTTGGGCAATCCTCCTCCCTTTGAGCTAGCTTTTGGGGCGTGAGTTAGGCCTAAGACCTAATTTAACAATCTTCAATTACTTTAACATGATTTGCAATCTTAGCAATTAGATCGTTGGGAAGTTCTGCCCAATTCGCCATTGTAAAAAAAAAAAACTCTGTTTAAGGTTTTTGATTATGAGGATATTTATATTTGACTAGAACTGTAATTCTCCAAAGGTCTAGAGTTTGGAACATATTTTACGGCCCATATGGTAAAAAATGTTGGATTGATTTTCGAAAAATAGTCATTAGTCACTATGTCTCGAGTCAAGGTCAAGGCTCTAGTCCTAGGAACCCGTTTGGCCATAGATTTTCCAAGTAAAATTTGGGGGAAAATTTGGCAAATAGTGTTTGTCCATACAATTTGTCATTATTTGACAAACAACCCAAATTCCCAACTACTAGAAAAAATTGGTATTTGGGCCAAATCTCATTATTTGAGAGCTTTTAAAAATTCAAATTCTACATTAAAGTTTTATCTTTTACAAAAATACCCTCTATAGTATTTATTGCATTGTATTACATAATTTTTTATGTGAACACCAAAGCAGTAATTGAATATTCAGTGAATATGAAAGTGATGATATGGTTGTTGATGAAAATGATGATTGATCATATCAGGGTAATAAAGTCATGTGCTTCGTCTATTTCACGATGTATGGAATGATGCTTGTTGCACTCACTCCGAACTACCACATTGCTCCAGTGTCATGGACACTACTTGTTATTTGCTGCAACGAAAATCCAATTGACTTGTTGCGGAAGTCATGTATCTTGTTACATCTACATTTCTATCTTGTTATGTCATACAAACATATGGTTAGTTTTGATAGTTTTTAAAACTTATGGGTATAAATCATATTTCTTAAAAAGGTGAAATATATTTCCCAAATATTATGGACAAACACATGGTGAAATTTCACTCAAATTTTCACCCAAATAATATTTGTCAAAAATATTTGGAAATCTATGGCCAAACGCTAGCCTAGTTTAGGGTAGGGTTGGGGTTGGGGATAGGTTTCGGGTCGTAACTCGAGGCTGAAGGTCGAGTCTTGAGTTACAGTCGGGGATAGTATTGAGATCGAGAGTTGGGGCTTAAGTCTTGGTTAAGGTTCAGGTTGGTTCTCAAATCCCAAGATGAGACCGAGGGTCGAGGCTCAAGTCTCGAGTTCCGATTCATGAGTTAGGGTTCTTTCTCGAGTTGAGAGTGAGGGTCAAGTCTTGGGTTGAGACCAAAGGTAGGGGCTCAAGTCCCGAGATAAGGTGGAATTGGAGGTCGATATTAGATCTTAGGTTAGGTCAGATCTCAGGTATGGGTTAATTCTCGAATTCATGTCCCGAGTCGGGTCGAGCTTGCAATAGGCAGGGATTAGGGTTGTTGGTCGAACCTCAGAGCTCGAGCCTTATGGATGGTATGGGTAAATCGTAGTAAAGGGTGGGATAGGGGAAGGTGGAGCATTTAAAAAGAATTGGATTTAAATTGGGCGAGTCACGACCCATCCCAATTTTAGCCCAATCTATTTCAACTCAATTAATAACTTTTGGGTTGATTATAACACAACTCATTTTAACTTATTTAGTTTCAACTCAACCAGCTCATTTGACATCCTTATGTGCGACCATTATTCGATATTTTTTAAATACTTTTTGTTCAAAGAACTTTATGGCTTAATTTCAATCCAACCGGCTCATTTGAACTCTACGTCTAGTTGTTAGAGACAAGTTCTCATCACTAATACATTAAAGACTTTGTTTGGTAATTGGGAACAAGTTTTCTCAAAATTAATTATTTTAGGATTAATTATCCACAATACAATTTTGGGATAATTTTCTTCCACAATTTTATCCCAATCAGACATGAAATAAACTTATCCTATAATTAATACTTCAAGTTCTATGTAGGGTAAATCAAATGCCAAGTTTCTAAGAAAAGCAAGTTAATAACATCAATTTTGAGCTATTGAGTTAAGAGTTCTGCTGGAATAAAATGCAGTAACTAAAGCTTTGGATTTAGTTGTTGGAAGGGCACCGTTACGTGTTTCTGCGCACATTGAACCTGTACTATACCAATAAATAGGAAAAATTTGCACCAAATTTACTCTTTCTATTACCGTCCATGACATGCTTCACCCTCTAGTTCATCACTAATATATGATGGAGGCGAATACTAACTATTTTAATAATAACCATAAAATTTTAAAATTCGCAATCAAACAATAAGAGTTAAAATTTGCAAACTAAATATGAGATTGCTCATAGAATAAATAGATTAGTATATAATATAGTAAAAAAAATGAAATTAAACAAACTAGCAATCACATTATTTGTGATGGTATAATCCAAGTAGGCGGAGAAATATGACTAAGTGACAATCCAGGATATATAGATTCAACTTCTCCGTCTTCAAAATTGTAAGCCCCCATATCTCTACCAGCACCATCAAAATAGCTAAATTTATCATACCAATCGTCAGTAAAATATATATAATTAGGCTTGATTCCAGGAAATTTAGAAGAGTCAATTGAACATGTTCCTGTATTAAAGCCCAAAAAAATAGCTGAATCTCCCAAGGTTTTAATCTCATCTTCCTCCTTTAATTCGCCCTTGATTACATCTACTTCAAAGACTTTAAATTTATAGGTCTTATATCTATGAAGCTCTGGATAATGAGCAAATCGGGTAATAAATAATAGTTTATCTGATAGCTCGACCAGGTAATATTGAACTGAATGCTGAAGAAATATATCGTCTTCGGACCAATAAAGCAAGTGTTGCTCTACTGCGTTTGGTTTGGGAGTAGCAGGCCCTGGAACTTCGAAAACCCAAAATTCACCACGAGCTGTAACATAATAGAATTTACCCTTATAATAATTCATACCCATGACAGCACCCAAATTGTTCATCTCAATATTTGTCCAATTGAGATCTCCAGGTCTCCAGAAAGCCAAACGATTAATATCTGCGTGATAGTTGACCACGAGTACATAATCTGAGGTAACGGAAGGACTTGCAGATAAGATAGCGTTCTCCATGAGGTTCCAGAGCACTTCATGATCTCCGAGACCATTAGAAGTCATTAAGTTATCTCGTGAAGGAAGTTGAATTTGGGTACGGGACAAATAATGCAACAAGTTCATCTCTCCGGTACTATCATCCATGGTGCAGAGCCATCCCTCCGATGGACAACACTGTCGTTGTCTAGCTTACGGGAGGAACAGGGGAGTAACTTTCTGCTTGATAAGAGAGTAAAATTCTCGATAATCATCATGTTTGTCAGCCAACATAAGTAAAGGAGTTTGGGTAAAAAATATATCAAATTTATGGTTAAGGGTAGTAGCAATTTTCCAAGAGGTACAAACACAAGTAAAAAATATGAAATCTTTAGGTAATTCAATACGATTTGCAATCATAGCAAGGAGATCCATGGATAAATCTGCCCACCCGCCTGCCATATCTTTGAAACGAAAAACAAGTTTTAGTTCTACTTGTGTTTTTTTTAGGGTACAAACTGCAATATATATATAGGCGTACAATTATATTCGTATTCCTATTTCTATTCGTATTCCTATATTAACAAGGATTTGGGCAAGCCCAAAAATATTCCTATTCATATATTAACAAGGATTCGGACTTCAAGTTTTGGACTATAGAAATCCTAACATCTTTTGTCATTGCCCACAAATTAACATCCTTTAATTTACATCACACAGCTGGCGGACAAATTAAATATGTATAGATTTAGTTGGTTGTTGACCAACGAAAAGCATGGGATCAATAAAGGCAGAATTTACGATCATCAAAAATAACTTATAATCACGAGTTACACTAAAGAAAAAGAGACCAAAAAGTTTTTTAAAATAGAGAAGATTAAAAAGGTAAATGACACTACATAAAATCAAAAAATAAAAAGGAGAGAAGATGGAAAAAAAAAAATTGAAATAAAAGGTGCAATTTAGAAAAAAATGCTGCCAGAAAGAGTCGACCTCATGACTAGTAGGTAAAGAACCAAAGCAACCACTAGTATTCTTTGTTAAGTGGGTGCTTATTTATATTTTATAGGGGAACTTTCGCATATAGCCACTCAAAAATAGCCTAATTACGTTCCATGGCTATAGTTTGTTAATTACAATTCGTAGTTACATGTTATAGGGAGAAGAGTGACGAGCGAGACTGGGAGAGGGAGGAGAGAGGCGAGCGAGAGAGGGCAGAAAGTGGGAGAAAGGTGAATTGTATATGTATATCGGTCAGATAATTGTATATTATACATATGTATTTGTATATTTTGGCGAGAGAGGTTGGGAAGGAGGAGAGAGACGAGCGAGATTGGGAGAGGGAGGAGTGAGGCGAGCGAGAGAGGACAATAATTTGTATAATTCACATCTCGTTTGTATAATTCGCATGTACGTTTGTATAATTCACGTATTTTCGTATAATTGAGTAATTTAAAGTCTGAAAAGTTATACAAATATAATAAAACTCGAAATAACGAATTGATACAAGCATAGATTGATAAAATTATATAGCAACAACAAGTCATATTGCATGCTTAGATGGCAAAGGTTGTCTCCTAACTAACTTTTATCTTATCATTAGCTTTATGAAATTAAGCTTAATGATCCTTTTCTTGTCCTAAATCTTCAAAAACTATGAAAATAAAATAAAATAATTGTTTGGTATAAAGGCAACTCTTATAACTAGCTAGTTTAATCATCACGAATTTGAAGGCTAGTTCACTTGGTGAGTTTCACGTATTTCACAGTCGAGATGAACAGTTTAAATCCAAACCCTATCAATCAATAGCAAAAAAATTCCTTTCCTTTTCCTCGCCCCCTCCTCGATGTAATAATTTTTTAAAAATATAAATATCTTTATTTCCTTTTGGATATTAATCATGAATAAGTGAAAAAGAAATAGAAAAAGGTCTTAGTATATACTTTTATTAGCAAATTTTAGTATTTTACATAGTTTGAGAGGACCACACTTTATAAGGACGTGTTAACAACTAAATAATTTTTTCTTTCTTTTTTTCAAGAATTGTAAAATGGTGACGATAAATTATAATATATACCAAATGTATAATAAAGATTTGACAATAAAAAATTAAAATCACCTTTTTGTAATTCAACAAGAGGAAATCAAGAGGATTGAGTAGAGATTTGTTTTTCATAACAACTATTATTTATTTATTAATTTATTAATTTAACAACTACTAAACAAGTGTTTCCAAATGTTGCTTTGGTGGCCACTTAATTTATCTTCAATTAATTATTTCAAAAGTATTTGAAATCAATTAACATATAAGATATCTCTTAAAATAAGAAAACATCCCGATACAATACCAGTCACGCATTTGTTTTAACTTTTAACCATTCGATATTTCAATATTCATTGATGCAACTAATTCAGTTCGCACTATCAAATAGAATTATTAAAAGAGTGGAATTTCTAACAAAAGATTGTTCAATTTCATGATTTTATTTTATTTTTCGTTGTGAAGGCCAAGAATAAAATTGTATTGATTTATAACGAATTATCTTATTAGTAAATCATTTTTTGACACGATTTTTTTTTTATTGAGAAGTGAGAGTTTGTAGTGTGACAAGTAGCAAATTCATCCAGTACTAAAAGGTAAGAAAAGAATAATAATTGTCAATTAAAAGATGAAATGACAATTTAAAATTAATTGATAAAAATAAAAGGTGCTTGTCAATGACCTTATGTAGGACCAATTTTATATGGTATGTTCAAGAAAATGAAGGCACTAAACCACTTGTGAAATGGCATTTTGGAGACCATCAATTCTATTTTCTATTTTTTTCTCTCTCTTCATATTCAACAGTTTTTATTGTTTTGGTTCTCACTTAATGTTCAGTATATATAGAGTCTTTACTAATTTAAATTTATTGTCGTTTAAGATCCATTTAAAAGAAAAATGTTCGAACTCATATTCTTCAAGTAAGAGAGGAAAGCTTCTATCAATTGACATGAAGAAAAAGAAGTGTGAAAGAGAAGCAACAAAGTTTATGTCTTAGTTTGAGGAGATCAAACTTTATAAAATCTAAAATCTAAATATTTCTTTCTTTTTTCAAGGTCTTATCAACCCAATACACAAATGTAAAATGGTGACTATAGTATATCGAAAGTATAGTAAAGATTTGACGATAGAAAAATTAGGATTAATCAAATTTCCATGACATATATTATTAATTATACACTATGGCCTAAGCTTTCTCGTTTGACTATAGATTTCGAAAGTAATATTTATTTGGTTAAAAAATTTATTTAGTTTTTTGAAAGATTTTGAAATCAAATTTTGAAATTCAAAATTTAATTTAGACTTCTTTTTGACCGAAAATATATAAATAGACCTATTTCAAAATTTTAAAAAGACTTCTCCTTGAACTTTAATGTTTTTATCTAGGGATAAGGGTCTGAAAAATATCCCAACTTTGGTCGGATTTGCTGTTGCGATACTAAACTTTCATAAGGACCTATTACCTCCCTAGACTATTTAATACCGTATTTTTTACCCCCTGAACTATTTAATAGTGTATTTTAAAGGTATATATGTGCCCACGTGGACACATTACTATTTATAATTTTGCATTATTTTTTATGTCCATGTGGGCAAATATATATGTTTAAAATACGGTATTAAATATAGTCTAGGGAGGTAATAGTTCCTCATGAAAGTTTAGTATGGCAACAGCAAATCCGACCAAAGTTGGGATATTTTTCAGACCCTTATCCCTAGATAAAAACATTAAAGTTCAAGGAGAAGTCTTTTTAAAATTTTGAAATAGGTCTATTTATATATTTTCGGTCAAAAAGAAGTCTAAATTAAATTTTGAATTTCAAAATTTGATTTCAAAATCTTTCAAAAAACTAAATAAATTTTTTAACCAAATAAATATTACTTTCGAAATCTATAGTCAAACGAGAAAGCTTAGGCCATAGTGTATAATTAATAATATATGTCATGGAAATTTGATTAATCCTAATTTTTCTATCGTCAAATCTTTACTATACTTTCGATATACTATAGTCACCATTTTACATTTGTGTATTGGGTTGATAAGACCTTGAAAAAAGAAAGAAATATTTAGATTTTAGATTTTATAAAGTTTGATCTCCTCAAACTAAGACATAAACTTTGTTGCTTCTCTTTCACACTTCTTTTTCTTCATGTCAATTGATAGAAGCTTTCCTCTCTTACTTGAAGAATATGAGTTCGAACATTTTTCTTTTAAATGGATCTTAAACGACAATAAATTTAAATTAGTAAAGACTCTATATATACTGAACATTAAGTGAGAACCAAAACAATAAAAACTGTTGAATATGAAGAGAGAGAAAAAAATAGAAAATAGAATTGATGGTCTCCAAAATGCCATTTCACAAGTGGTTTAGTGCCTTCATTTTCTTGAACATACCATATAAAATTGGTCCTACATAAGGTCATTGACAAGCACCTTTTATTTTTATCAATTAATTTTAAATTGTCATTTCATCTTTTAATTGACAATTATTATTCTTTTCTTACCTTTTAGTACTGGATGAATTTGCTACTTGTCACACTACAAACTCTCACTTCTCAATAAAAAAAAAATCGTGTCAAAAAATGATTTACTAATAAGATAATTCGTTATAAATCAATACAATTTTATTCTTGGCCTTCACAACGAAAAATAAAATAAAATCATGAAATTGAACAATCTTTTGTTAGAAATTCCACTCTTTTAATAATTCTATTTGATAGTGCGAACTGAATTAGTTGCATCAATGAATATTGAAATATCGAATGGTTAAAAGTTAAAACAAATGCGTGACTGGTATTGTATCGGGATGTTTTCTTATTTTAAGAGATATCTTATATGTTAATTGATTTCAAATACTTTTGAAATAATTAATTGAAGATAAATTAAGTGGCCACCAAAGCAACATTTGGAAACACTTGTTTAGTAGTTGTTAAATTAATAAATTAATAAATAAATAATAGTTGTTATGAAAAACAAATCTCTACTCAATCCTCTTGATTTCCTCTTGTTGAATTACAAAAAGGTGATTTTAATTTTTTATTGTCAAATCTTTATTATACATTTGGTATATATTATAATTTATCGTCACCATTTTACAATTCTTGAAAAAAAGAAAGAAA